TAAAACTAAGCAGGCTGGGGGGGGGGCGCTTGGGGGCTGGCGAGACGTCTGTGCTTGCTGTCAGGCTGGCAGAGGGGCGTGGTCCTGCAGGGAGAGGGGCCTCACCTCAGGGTGTGTGTGCGCGCGCACTTGGAGAAAGGATCCTGTGTGTTTCTAAACCCCCCAGACATCCCTCTCTCTCTCCCTCTCATCTCGTCTCTCTCCTCTCCCCTCCGCAGTTGGGATGACAGCAGCTCCATCAGCAGCGGCCTAAGCGACACACTGGATAACATCAGCACGGACGACCTGAACACCTCCTCCTACACGGACATCTCAGCCTCCCCCCGCAAGAGCGCCTCTCAGGTATGCAGCCAGGGAATCGCGTGCGTGCGCACGTGTCTGCGTGTGTGTTGGGCTCAGCCTCCTGCCCTCCGTGTCTCTCTGCTTGCAGCTGCTCTTTTAACGTTAATATTCTGGAGTGGAAACAGGAGACTGTTTAGCTGAAGGATCCTTTATGACGAACGGCCGTAGTTAATGGTCGGCTTCGATAAAAGCTCATATTGTCGGTGCTGCTGGAGGATTCACTTCTCTCTCGCACCTGTGTTCGGATTCCAGTACTGCCACTGATGCCATTTATGACTTGCAGTTTCAGCAGCGTATAATTTAATTTTACCACGTGCTGAATTGAAGTCGCGGAATCTGCCTCCAGTTCCTCGGCCCAGCTGGCGGTCTTTATCGTGAAATAATGCTGCCCTCCCCGCTTTCCCTCTGCGGCTCTGAGCTTCAGTGAGTTTTGTAGTGAGGATGTGCAGCTTTTGCATCATGTATGAGGAAGGTCAGGTGTCCTAGGTGTCACCCAGTGATGATGTCACGGTGTGATGCCTCTGTGTGTATGAACTTCTCATAGGTCAAAACAGACTCGCATAAGCGTGCGGCGACTGTGGTGGCACCGGGCCATGATAGCGCCCCCTGGCCAGCAGGGGAGGACCTGAAGAAGTTGGACGAGGAGCTGTGCAGTGCCATGGACTCCAGATGGAAGCCTTCCTCCAGCTCTGGGGCGTCTCCCGGGCACAGCGAGGATCCGGACCGGACCGGGCAGAAAACCGGCCTGCCGTTGTCTCAGACGGGCTCCTGGAGGCGGGGCATGACTGCTCAGCTGGGCGTCACATCCTCACGGACCAAAACCCCTACAGGAGCACTAAAAACCCCTGGTAGGGGCATCTTCTCCCCGGAGCACCTCCTTTGTGTTCACAGAACCTGAGAATTTGGATAAGTAAAAATCAGGTTCCATGGTCTGTTTTCCCCTGCATGTAAAATTCATGACGTTATTCTGGCAAAGGCATTGAGCTGTATTTCTGATGATCTTAGCAAACAAGCTGTCATTTGCCCAAAATAACGGTGAATGATGAAATATGATGGGAGAAAGATTTCAGGGGGGATGTGGGCGTAAAACTGTCTGCAGCTTAGCATTGAAGGGATGAATCGTTTTGCGTGAGCAGCTGAAATCGGCCATTTTGTGTTTGTAGGAAAGACGGATGACGCTAAGGCCTCAGAGAAGGGCAAGGCTCCAGCCAAGGGCACAGGAATCCAGCGCTCTCCCTCCGACGCCGGGAAGAGCAGCGGGGACGAAGGAAAGAAGCCTCCGTCGGGCGTGGCCCGTCCCCCCACCACCGGCTCCTTCGGCTTCAAGAAGGTGATCACGGGCAGCGGGGCCACACTCGCAGGCGGCTCGGCCACCCTGGGCAAGCTGCCCAAGACCTCGGCGCTCGGGAAGGGCGGCCCGGCCGGCGCGGTCAACGGCGTCCGTAAGACGAGCCTGGACGAGGCCCAGCCGCAGGACGACGGGGCGCTGCTGAGCATGGCTGCGTCTCGGACGCCGCTGCAGTACCGCTCGCTGCCCCGGCCCGCCAAGTCGTCAGCCAGTGGCATCGTAGGCCGCGCCAGCCACCGCTCCAGCTCCAGCAGCGTGGACTCCAACGTCAGCGGAAAGTCGGCGCCCGCCCCCAAGCGCCGTGACGGCAGCAAGGCGGAATCCGACCGCTCCAGCCCCGTCACCGTCAACCAGACAGACAAGGAGAAGGTGGCAGTGTCCGACTCGGAGGGCACCGGCCTCACACCCAAATCCAGCCCCACCTCCACGGGCCAGTCCGGCCTGCGGCTGCCCGGCCCCAAATACCCCGACATCGCCTCTCCCACCTTCCGCAGGTCAGACCCACAATGCACTCTGCTCCCTGCTGTGGGATATGAGAGAATGTGCTACAGCCCAGAAGCGGGCTATGAGTATTTAATCTCTGTCATTTTGACAGGCCACATTACACTCTTAGTGTGCAGTTACCTCCTTTCACAGATAAGGGATATTACTCATCACTGGTTGGAATAACCTCATTTATCAACACACAAAACCAAAGGTTATAGCTCCAGAGGTGCACGATTTTATGATAAAAGTGTGAAACTATCATACACTGTCATATGATTAAGGAAAAGTTTGGTAAACTTTATGAAATTCAGGTTCTTCAACATGACAGCGCCACCTTCTGTCTGTTTCAAGTAACTGTCTTGAATAGCCGGGGCGATTCGTCATTCCCTGCAGATGGCCCCCTGGCTGCATGTCAACTTATTTAGGGACTTTCTCAGGTGTGCCTGTGATCTTGCAGTAACGGGCCTGCATGGCCGTGAGCCTGTTCACACTCCCCTGTTAACAGATGGGATGAATGTTCCGAATGCTTGTAAGAATGCCAAGAGCACCGTGTGCCAGTCTCTGATACCATGGCCGCTGGTTCCAGGTTGTTCGGCTCCAGTAAAAGCAGCAGCAAGGCCAGCTCTCCCGGGACCCCCGATTCCGGCAAGGCCCCCTCAGCCCTGGGTAGCCCCCATGGGCCCCTGGCGCGGCAGGTCAGCCTGGACTCGCCGTCCTCGGGCACGGGCAGCATGAGCAGTGGGCAGAGCGGCGGCAGCAGCCCCCTGTATGCCCGGGGCCCCGAACTGACGGGCACCGCCTACGCTCCGTCCCCGAGCCCCTCTCAGGCCCGTCTCACAGGAAACGCCCCGGGCGGACAGGGCGGGGCCGGCCTGCACGCCACCCCCGAGTCCATGGACCTGGCTGTCAGCCACCACAGCTCGCTTGCCGGACTCGCCTCGGGGCCCAAGGTGACACGCACAGGGAGTGTGAAGTCCACTCTGTCAGAGGGGTGAGTCCGCTTGTGTTCTAAGAAGCAGAAATCAGTGTTGAATGTTTTAAGTTCATCTTACGCCGTTGTCTTTGGTTGGGCTCGAATTTTGACACTGTTCAGAAGCAGTATTTGTCTGACCTTGTCTTTGACGGTGTGACGGGATTCTGACCTGCATGGCTGGAGTAATGATGAATCTAAAAGCAGTCGGAGGCTGTTCAGTAACCATGGGTAGCAGTGCAGTGTTTATCTCTGCCGCACATTTCTAGCTGGTCCTACTTTGTCTTCCCTTGTGCTGAGGACATTTCCTGTAAGCTGCACTGCGTGACCCTGACACCAAGGAATACCTCCGTTAAACGAGGAAAGGTTTGATGCTTTGGGGGGTGTGGTTGGGAGCTATGCCCCCCCAGATTGACCTTTCATCCAGGGCACAAGACAGGGACACCTGGTTGGCATGCCAGTGTGTCATGGGCCACAGTGGTTAGAAGATGGATGGATGGGTGGATGGATGGGTGGATAGATGGATGGATGGATAAGAGGGAGAGAGATCGACAGCCCAACTTTAAACAGGTTTAAAGTAGATAGCCATCTGTAAGTCTTCATCATATTTGCTACACCGTCCTTCTTGTCACACCCCAAGGGCATCAGTAAATCCCCGGTCGCTTCCTTTTGAAGATGCCGTGGATTTGTGCCCGATGACGTGGGTTCTGATAACCACGTCCAGGTGTGTTGGTGATCTGCTTTGCTGTGCTGCTGAAATGACTTGCTGCCTGTTCTCTTGCCTTAACAGCATGCCTCTTGACAGGAACACACTGCCCAAAAAGGGACTCAGGTACTATTAACCTCCATCATCAACCTTCCCATCTCCGTTTACCTTTAGCGGTCAAATCTACGTTTGACTCAAGACTTAAGCCGAGTAGCTTTTTATCTATCGGATCCTTTGTTTGTCAGACAAATGTCTGTACTGGCTGCAGACCTGTTCTTATATACAGTGTATTATTTGTTAATTCACATCTGCTCACCCCGCCCCACACCCCAAAACCAGGTACCCTCCCACATCCCGGCAGACGTCCCAAGAGGAGGGGAAGGAGTGGCTGCGATCGCACTCCACAGGGGGGCTGCAGGACACTGGAAGTCAATCTCCTCTGTCGCCGCCTGGGACGTCAGCCACAGCCAGCAAGTACCACTACTCCAACCTGTGTGAGTGGGAACACATAGCAGCATTAGCATAGCGAAGACTTTGTTAGCTTAGCACGAAATGTGTTAGCATAGGACATGTTAGCATGCCGCTGAATAGGGTTAGCATAGCAGAGTTAGTGCTAACAAAAGCACTGGTAACCTGACCAGACTTTTGCAGACTATAATCAGTGTGTAAAATGTTAGCATGATGCTTTAGCACAAGATGCCAGGTCTGCAGGTTTGCAGAAATTACAACATGAAGGTGTTTACAGCATGTTTGCTGGGTCAGTTAACAACTTCTTAATCCCATACATATATAATATGCAATAATTCCTGGTAAATGTTGTATTTATTAACAGACTAGACATCCCCAATAATCTGAGGAAAAAAGACATTTGATTGGTTAAGGTATTGAATAAATGATTTGGAATCAATATGAAGCTGAAAGCTTGTTCCCTAGATACACAATAATGAACGCAATGTATTTGTGGTATTCTGTACGTCTGAGTGCAGTGAGCCCCACCAACCCGTCCCAGTTTGCCCTGCCCGGTACCAGCATGAGCCGATCCAACAGCATCCCAGCCCAGGACCTGGCCTTCGACCTGCGGGCGGAGGCACACGCGCTGGGCGGCAGCGCCACCTCCCTGGAGGAGAGGCCGCGGGGCATAAGCCGCTCAGGTTCCTTCCGGGACAGCACCGAGGAAGGTAGCGGCCCAGCAGGGGTCCGGACTGGGGGGGGGTCCTGCTGCGTAACCGGGATTAGACACAGTTCAGGGGTGTGGCTGGATTAGTGGAAGATGAAACCCAAGATGCGGGACTCCCATCCTTGACACCCGGCTAGTTTCCATGGCGATGCCTGGCGGTCCAAGCTAAGGGAGCGACTCCAACGTGTCCCTAAGTGTGTAACTATCTCAGGGAGGCAGGGAGAGAAACCAGCTGATTCAGAGAGTCTGTCACCAAGACGCTGTAAATGCAGCCCAGGGAGGTGACTGACCCCACCCCTTCCCCGTCTCTGTCCCCGCAGTGCACGGCTCCTCGCTGTCGCTGGTCTCCAGCACCTCCTCACTATACTCTGCGGTGAGACCCCAGCCTGCTCCTTCACCGGCATCACAGTGGTGTACACATTCTATACACTGTACATAAGAACATAAGAACATAAGAACATAAGAAATATACAAACGAGAGGAGGCCATTCGGCCCATCGAGCTCGCTTGGGGAGAACTTAACTAATAGCTCAGAGTTGTTAAAATCTTATCTAGCTCTGGTCTACACCCTGTACACCAGGGGTGGGCAGTCTTATCCAGAAAGGGCTGTTATGTATGTGGGTTTTCACTGCAACTTCCTAATGAGATCACTAATTGGAGGACAGATTGGCTGAAGAGTCCTCACACCTGGGTTTGAACATCTGACCTAATGGTTATCTCCAAAATCAGCATACACACCGGCCCATTGCAGATAAGATTGCCGATCCCTGCCCTACACGGTGGACACGGTCTGCACACTATATACAGTCTATATGGTGCACACGGTCTACACACTGTACACGGTCTACACTATGCACATGGTCTGCACACTGTACACAATCTGCATGGTACATACGATCTGCACACTGTACAAACTCTACACAGTGCACACGGTCTGCACACTGTGCACGGCCTACACCAGGAGTGGGGAACCTGTTCCATGGAGGGCCGGTGTCGGTGCAGGTTTTTGAGATGACCTCTCAATCAGCCAATAATAAAGCAGTGGTTCTCAACTCCAGTCCTGGGGACCCACTGTTATTTGGATGATTGAAGATGGCTTGTGCCTCTTTAAGTCTTTAATTTTGTTTTTTTGACAGACAGAAGAAAAGGCCCATTCTGAGGTATGGAAGACCATTTTCTAATTTTTATTTTGAAGTATTATTGCTTATAGTAGCAGATATTAGATGTTAAAACACGGAAGTGGCTGAAACATTTACTGTACGACTTTGTATCATGTATACTGCTGTTGATAGTTTCAGTTCAGTTTGTCGCACGAGACATAAACTGTCGCTGATGAGGAATATCAATGCATATATCTTTTTACTTTCCTCATTCAGGGTACATTGAGTTTGATGATACTAAGCAATTAGCATAATTCATATTATTTCTGTTTGTTGTGTGACCTTACGTAAGAATCTTTAAAATTCTTACCTAGGATGTTTTTCTATGTGTTGTTGCCAATATTTCCCTCATCATTTTAAAATTGCACATATTGATATAATATAATATAGCCACAACCTCAATAATTATCAAATGTATGGAAGAATTAACTCTTCGTAATTTAGGACCACACTGTCCATAGTACTACAACGATTTTCCATTGAAATCCTAGTTTAGCCAAATTTAAGATAAAAATAGGGTTAAACTACAGTCAATTACAGAGTCATGAATGTTGCATGCTGGTTGCATTGCGGCCAACCACCACTAGGTGGCAAGTAACCTACGACTCTGTGCCAACAGCAAATCCGCAAGCTACGGCGCGAGCTGGACGCCTCGCAGGAGAAGGTGGCCAAGTTGACCTCCCAGCTGTCCTCCAACGTAGGTGACCCCCTCGTGACCCTTTTGTGACCCCTAAAAGACCACTGTATGACCCCTATGTGGCTCTCATGTGACCCTCATGTGCCCCCTTTTTGACCCCTATGTGAACCCCCGCGTGACCCCTCAAAGACCTGGCACCCTTAAGGGAGACATGCTCAATACTGGCTGACTTTCTCATGATTGGTGTCCTCTCTCACTGTGTGACCAAACAGAGACACTGTCCTTGTGTACCTCACCATATTTAAAGTCATTTGATTATTTATGCCTCTGTGTCTCTAAGTTGCATGCAGGTTTAGATGCGCATAATTCCGGGGTGACATAACGAGGCTCTGATTGCTCAAGGTAGTCGATTCAGGGGGTCAATATGCGTACTGGTCCATATTTGTGTTGTCGTGTACACATTTTACATCATCTTCCATTGCCGAAGACCAGTTCCAATGCTCATGAACAGAACAACAGAGGACGGTAAAAATATTCATATGCAGTTCTTGCCCCATCCCAAATATCAAGGATCCATTGGTTGCATCCTAGCCAAACGGGACCAATCCCATGATTCATTGCACCCCAAGTTGGAGTTCGGTTTTTGCGTTTTTGGCATTGAGAAAAACCCATGGTCATGCAAAGCTACCCATGGACCACCCCAGGTCAGTGGCTTGTTGGGGTACAAAGGCTAGGGTGGGAGATACCATATGGGGTGGAGCAGGGGAATCCTGCAGAGCCCAAAAAGAGGAAAGCGGGGGTGCCTTACTGAGTGGCCAATGAGAGGTCCAAGCAGAGAGAAGCACAACATTTACTCAGAATGGTCTCACCCATACAGCGACGACCCATCCACTGCAGAAGTTTAGCTTTTGTATAGTTTTTGACTCCCCCGCACCCCCAAAGATTGGTTCTTTCTTCACTGTTAAGCTGGAGTGTGAAGATAGACAGCCTGCTGCCTCAGATCCAGCTTCTGGAGGTGGCAGGATCTATCTCAGCAGGTCTTTCACTGTGCTCCACGCGCATCGTGGAGCAGCGGGAGGAGCAGCGACTCATCAACAGGCTTCCTGGCCATCATACCGATGCGGGCGATGGCCTGCAGCCAGGGGGCCCAAAGTGCCGTGCCGATCATTGTGCAAGAAAAACAGGAAGCTTAACGTGGACTAAAGTGCCTTCTGGCCCTAGGAGGACAGTTCCACTGTGAGTCTCTGAGCTACAGTGCAGGAAAGTTCTCATGATGAATGCTCATCTCAGCTGAGGGAGGAGTAAAGCCCGCCAGTCGCTCTCATCACAATCGAGGTTTTCCGTGATGGTCTGCAGACCATGCAGCCCCAGCGGGCCGTGAAGCCTCTGCGCAGACGCACTACATTGGTGCCCTGGTAGCTTTGGCCGTGGTCAAGCAAATGTCAGTAAGCGGCGGCCTCTGCTGGAAAGTTTGCTCTTTCCTGACCCCTCCCTGCTTCAGCTTGGGACTTTCGGCCGTTGGATGTGCTTTGTGGAGCGTCGTGGTGACAGTCCCTCACCTTTAAGGTTGCAGCACAGCATTTTGCAAGAAACAGTCAGAATGAAAAAATGTGACGTGACCGAACCGAGGTCCTAAGGATGAGCGTGAGTCCAGACTCACAGCACGAGAATGACTGAGTGGGGATTTGACGAGTCCCACACAGAAAGTCCCTGCTTTCTAGTCAGGCTGCTTTGGAGGTGCCTGGGCAGACCAGGGTGTTTAGCTTCGCTGGCGTAAGCTGTGTGTGGTGGTGAACAATGAAAGGAGCATGACTATGAATTAGCAGCAAGAGGCTGCCTCACTGACGGCCCCGGTATCTGAGAGGGTTTAACCTCAGACCAGCCTCCCCTCCCGGTATCTGTGAGGGTTTAACCTCAGACCAGCCTCCCCTCCCGGTATCTGTGAGGGTTTAACCTCAGA